TTAATCTCCCCTCTTGCCGCGAAAGGGACGAAACGTCCCCTTCGAAATTGAAGCGTCGCAGCCCTTCAGATCGCGGCCGCTCGAAATTCACACCGAAAGGTTCGTGAAAATTCGTTTTACCGAATTAATGAAGAGGTGGTTGAAGAATGGTACGCGCGATACGTTAATAAATGTTAATAAAGCACCCCTCGCCGAGAAAATGCGAGCTATCTCGGTGGTAACAAATTCCCGATCGATCCGACCGAGTTGCCACCGTCTACTATAAACAGTTGGTAACTCGAGGAACTTGAAGCGCTTCGGGTTCGAACTATTAACGGGCTCCCCCGACATCGTCGAAGAACAACACTGACGCGTTTGCATCCCCTCCGCCCGCTCGCGTTAACGTCGGATCGTTCGGTGTTTGCTCGCGATTCTCAACTTCCCTCGGTGAAACTTGGCGTTACTAACGCTTCCGGTTCGTCGAACGGCACGAAAACAGAAACGGTGCACCGATACGCGTTCGTTCGTCCTCCCGGCGGAACATTGTTCCCCGCGAATCGATCTCCAACTGCACCGTGTACACGAATTCTCCTCGTTGTAGCTTGACTTTTTAACAAGAACGTTGGACGCCATTTCTCTGGAAAGAAATATTCTTTTCGTAAGAAAGTCTGGCCACAGATCGAAAGTACACATGAAATACAGGGTGTCCATAAGGTTTCTTTACAATTTCGAAAATTTATTACGAAGGCAAATGAAAAGACAGACAAGTGGAAATTATTACAAAATGAGACGTATATGTTTAAGTTTCTTTTCCCCCTCGTTTAATATACCTCTATATGGACAGCATTGGTTGCAATAAATTTTGCCTTTGTAATCAATTTTTAGACACTGTATTATTATGCATTCACCCGAGTTAAAATATGGTTCTACGATTGATACTACGAACGATACTTGGATAGTTTTTATTCGAAAAATTCCATCTCGAGCGTAGGCTGATACTCGCGCAGCTTCCAACGTCGCGTTTCCAACACGCGGTAATTGATCCATCGAACACGCGATCGTGCACGCGTCGTCCACCGGGCTGGTAACCGGAGACGAGCAATAGGAGCAAAAGCCACGGGCGAGCTTCGAGCATAGTCGACGGAAACCCAATCGAACCCGGTCGCCGGTTTTGCCCCGCGATCGCCATCGATTATTCAAATGCTCCCGATCTGGAAAGATCGTGGACTATTCCCATTCTCCCTCGTTGCATCGGCAACGACGATCCCAGAGAGGTTTTTCCAAGGGTCTTTCCGGTTGTCTTTGATGAAGTTTTTAAAAGGTTCGCCAAAGCGGAAGAATATATCGAGGCAGCCTGCTGCAAAGGAGAGCGGGAAATTTAAGAAACAGGGACGAGTGAGAGGAGAGAGAGAAAAGGAAGCAGAGCGTGGAATAAAACGGCTGGGGCCGTGGTTCTGTGAAATAATAACAAGTCTTCCGGGATGAGAAAAGGGGTTAAAGGAACTCGGTGGAAATGAGTATTCGAGTGCGGACTCGATCACGCCTCGGAGATTCGAAGCGGAATTAAATCGGTTCGGAATGAGAGAAAGGGAAAGAGAGAGAGAGAGAGAGAGAGAGCGATAGTTTGAATCCAATGTACCGTGGCCGATGGAAACGTCCATTACGACGCTTCAGAACGGGAAATGGTTTTTTCCTCGGGGTAGCATGGCGCGAGTCAGCGTAAATTCGTCGTCGAGTCCCGCGTCCGTGAAAACATCAGGGCTTGATACGAGCATCCGCGATTGTCGTCGCCGTTAAAACGATTCGCCAAGAGGCAGAAACGCGTGTCTTTAAAGACACATCGCGTACCCGTTTCGTAAAATCTTCCGTCGCCTCGTCTCTTCCTCCATGCGCGAGAAAACCGAGGTCGTTCGATCGTCGTGCGTCGATTTTAGTGAAAACGACAGCTGCGTACGCAGGTTAAACCGTGTCTATTGACACTCGACAAGTTTCCAGCTAATTCTCCCCGTTAGAAAAAGAAATTAACGTTCGGCGAGAGCGCAGCTGTCTCCAAGAGCCGTGTGCTCGAACGATCTCGGACTGAAACAACGCTATCGCTCGCGGCTCGTAAAGAATAATGAATCCCATCGGCGTTTCGCGGTTGGTTATTACCTTGGGTAACTCGCCGACGCTGCCGTTGCTAATTGTTCCAGCGTGGAGCAACGGTCGGGCAGTAACGTAGTAACGAGGGCGGACAGAGTCAGGGAATTCCTAGCTCAGGAAGTTCTCGAGCGACGAGTCTCATTTCCTGGCTCGAAGCGGCGTTTTCCATTTTCCCTTGACTCGCCGCACGGCGAAAGTGGAGCTCCGTAAAAAGCTCCGTTACGGAAACGTCGCCGAGACTCTTCCTCCTCTCCGTAACTTACGCCCAGATTGAACCTGCGTTGAAGTTCAACAACGTGGTGAGAAAAAAATTTCTCGATAGAAAGTCATCGCTGCGTGAACCCATTCCGAGCAGGGATCCAGCGAGCGTTTCAGAAGCAGTGTTCGTCGGTTCCTTTCCGCGAGGGAATTTCTGAGACGATCCGCACGAGACCACATCCGAAAAGGAGTTCGCCAACTCCTCATGCTGGTGGCCATCGCGAAGCCAACAGCCGTCGAAAATAAAACACCCGGTCGATGTAACGAGGTTGTCGCGTCTGTCGCTCCGTGCATGTGGCTCTCGTCCCTCGAAATTCAAGCGTTCCACACGCTCTGTGAAATATATCTTTCGTCCCGTGTTATATTCGGGCTGAGACGTGCAGCTCGCGTAAAATTCGATCGGGCAGGCTAGACTCGTCGACTTCGTAAATTCCTCCGACGACACGCGGCGTCGTCGTCGTTCACTCGTAAACGCTCTGGCTCGTAAACGTTTTATACTTTTCATTCTGGGCACGAGCTGTTGCGCGTAGCTGTCCTCCTCGCAGATATAAAGCTCCACCGGCTCCAGTTCGCGACAATGCGATCGTCCGGGCGGGATGCAAGGTGAACGAGACGAGACGAGATTCTCGTAAAACACGCGAGCCTATTCGCTTGTAAAGAAAAGGGAATACTTTCACGTTGCACGTAGTTTGGGGAAATGGCGAATCTTGGAACGGATTCGCTCGTCGTAAAATTCGCGCTTACATGCGACGCTTCGCATCGCGGTTTTATTTAGCAGTGCGTTCACCCGTGTGACGCATTGTTCGTCATTGAAGCCATTATCTTCCAGAGAGTGTTGACGGCGGAGGAGCAAGGCAGGAGGATGGCCTCTAATAGAGTTCCCTTCGTAACCGCTTCCTGTCCGGATCCGAGTCCGCCGCTTTACTTTACCAACCGCCTAGCAACCGTGCCAGCCGACCACGTTACCCCTTCTCGCTTATACACTTCGTTTATATTAATTCTACGCGGCAGAAGGTTTACTGCCGGTAAACTTTACTAAACCCGCCTTAAAGACCCGCCGCCCGGTGTGTATCTCGTTTAACGCAGTCGTCGCCAGGGTTTATGCACGCTATGTGAAATCTTACCAGCTTCCTTCGCCGGACGACACTGCCGCGCGTTCTTCACATACAAATTGCCTTAACGCCGTTACCAGTTCGTAGAAATCTTTTGGATGTTGGTTGGCAATCTTGAATCGTGAATTTGAACGAGGTTGAGATTCACCTTGTTACTTTTCAAATCATTGATTTGTATGTTTTTCAGTACATGTCAAGCTAGGCAGATTCAACTACACGTTGTCTACTCGATCATTAGGCGATTTCACGCTGCTTTTCTCCTGCTGGTCAAGAATCGGATCCACACTCTTTCTCGACATGCGCTGACTCGTTGCCATTCATTCTCTTTTCTTTCTTTTTCTCGTATCCTTAAACACTAACACGCACTCCGGCACTTGATGTATACCTATTCCTTTTACGAAAATAATACAACTAATTGTCAATTTAATACAGGGAACAATGTAACAGAATAACTTTTAGACACGGAAGAAGTTATATGTTAGGGGTACTCGCAAGTAATGTCGTTTTTTGAACAACTGTGCAAAATTTTATTTTATTTAACAGTTAATACAGTTTTAATCTACAGTATAATTTAACAATACAGCATACTAAATCTCAATAAGTTGAATTATTGTCACCATTATATATTATTGTAGGCGGCAATGTTTATTAAATTTGAAGGAAACGACGTTATTTATGAGTGTCCCTAATACTTTTATCCTTTTTATATAAGAGTTAAACAAAACGAAAGGAATAACAATGAACACAGAATTTGGAACCAAATTTTTAAACTGGTCATTTTATGTTTAATATTTTGATAATATATAATTTTACAATTATTGCAAATAATTGCCTGAGCCGTTTTCAGGTCATAAACGTGACCTGCGATAGATTTTAGTGTTGGATGACTAACAATATTAACTTATTGTATTGTTAGTGCTAACACTGAGTCAGTAATCGTCTTTCGAAAGTGTTCTACAAACGCTTATTCATAGGGGAAATTCCAATAAAATTTCTTTCCTCCTCTCTTGGACTTACCACAAAATTACAAAGAGACGTGCTAAGAAGAGAAGGAGACTCAGTCAAAAATATCAAGTGTCGTCCCTGTAAAAAAACATACTGTTATACAACTACATACTCGTACAATTCGACGCTTGTACAAAAATGCTGCCAGTTCGTCCAACTCGTTCAATTCCCACCTTTTCTTTACTCCCGAGTATCATTTACAGTCTTCTTCAGGTAGCACCCTTATTGCTTCTAGGGATTTCGCAATTCTGAAGATCCTTTGTTCCATATTTTTCCTTTAATGTGAAGTTTATTCCACTGCCGACATTCCTTTGCACTCCTACAATTATAATAAGTAAAGAACAAAAATATAATTGCAAAAAAATGTAATCTCTCTCGATACGCAAAACTAACTTCGCAGAGAGTGACGAGGAACGATCGAGACAAGGTCTCTCTCTCTCTGTCGTTGCTACCTCGACGAGGATGTTCCATCCAAGCTAACGTGAGCTCCGCGTGATTGCACAGGTTCAGGCTCCGGCTCCGGAAGCAGCGGATGCGCGTCCAGCACCCTTGGCACGCTACCACTGAATCGCTGTTACTCGTCGCTGCCGAGAGGCGCGTTGGCAGCTTACGGCAGTTTAACGAGGCCCGCCACTTTGCCGCGACTTCCCCTCGGGCTTGGCCTTGGTCCTGCGCCCGCCACCGGGAACGGGCCGCTGCCGCAGAACGACAGGGACAGGGACAGCAACGGCAGCAGCAAGAGAAACAGCGACAGCGTCCTCTGTCATCGTTTGCCATTGCTGCACCCGTTGCCCACGTGCGACGTTACCAGCCACCAAGGAACTGGCTTTCACGAGATCTTCAACGCTATCAGGTGAGAATTATATCCTGTCCTCGTTTCGGAAACGATCGTCGATCGATCGTGGCCGTGGCGAGTCGATCTGAAACTGTCCGGCGGACGGAGTCGACGCTGTTTTAACCACTTGCGCTGGGAACTTGGGATTGCGGACCATAACGAGTGGCCAAACACCGTCTACAATATATTCGTTTCGCTTTCCCTTCGAACTCGTCGGCATCACTGGATAGAAATTCTTGAGAAGTAACAAATTTATTATTTTGTTTCACTTAGATATACTATTATAATAATATACTTAGTATTTAATATAATATAATGTACTTATTATTTTGTTTCACTTAAATATACTTAAAACTGAGATAATATTACAATTTTGGAACGAGAAGTTCTCGACGTTCCAGCGCAAGCACGTTTAATCGTGAACAATGGTGGCCGTTTCGAAATCTTATTGGATTGTTAAATTATTATTAATTAATTATTAATTTCGAAATCTTATGGTGGAGTTAATCTAAAAGTGAAAACGTAAGGTAAAATCACTCAAAATCAATCAAAAGTGAATGGCCTCACGTTTGATATTCGCGGACGGAAAATTGAAATGAATTCGCGGTTCGGCCAAAACCACAGAGATTGGCGCCGGTCGCCGCGTAACTCGATAGGCCACGGCGCGAAACGTCGCGGCGAGTTCTTCGACGTGAAAGTTCTCGAGATTTGGTCCTCGAGAACAGCCGGCAAATGAGTTATGGAAATTAAAGAGACGAGGGAGAGTGGCCATTCAGGGAATTATACGAACTTCCGCTGGAAAGTTTCAGCAAAGAGCGTGCTTCCCTTCAGGATGGACGATTGTTAGACGAGGAATTTAAAGGCGACGAGGGAAGGAATGGGGAGGGATGTGGATTGCGTCAACATCGTTCTTGCAAGGTCGTGGAAATTGCGGAAATTCCACCCTCGTCTCTCGCTGACTCTCGGAAAGCGGTGGCGAAAATTTCGCGACTGAAAGTCCGTTGTTTGCATGTTCGCGAATGTATTTCAAGTCCCTCGGAACTGAAAGAACGATACTCTACTCGCGAGTGCGAAATATCGATCAACGGTCGTTGCTGCGGCACTCCATGGAGTTTCGTCGGAGCCAACGAGTTTTCGAACAGAGAATTCTATCGCTTGCCTGCGGCGCGTCCGGATTCGCCGTGCTGGGTGTTAATTTCAAACCTCACCTGCTCGTCACCTGGAAACCGTTCATTGTTCGCGCCCATGTCCCCTCGAAAAGATCTCCGTTTCAGCTTTCTGTAGTTCCATTACACGGCCCGCAATGGAATTCCTTCATCTGCATTTCACGTCATAATTCGGACGTCCACGAGCCGCCGGGAGAAATTTCATTCAAATTCCCGGGTGTAACCACCTCGAATAATCTCGCGGTCGCCAGTTTTCCTTTGCCCTGGCAACCTTCCGAACCGGATACCCGAGATTTTTCAAATATCAAGCACGTCACCGGAGAAAAAGCGGAATAGCCCATCTCCGCGTAATTTCGTTCGAAAAACGAAAGGCATTTAATTTTTCTCGATTGTTTGAATTTTCTAAATAATACTTTTTTTTTTTTCTTACACCGCGCGACAATAGTAATGGTTTAATATATATGGAAAAAGAAAAAAGAATAAAATAAAAGAAGAAACGTGAGCTTAGTCAAACACGGGATTATACGATTAGACGCGTCAACTTTGAGGACCCGTTTTGATTTCACGCGCATCGAGGAACCGTAAAACCGACAGGAAAGCAGGAGCCCCGAAGCGTGGAACGATGTGGAAGGCTGCGCGAGAATCGTCGTAAAAAGAATGACGATGGCGTCCGTGTTTTTCTTCTATTGATTGTGGTCTGGACCATTTGTACCGCGACGCGTTGATGAAAAGGCAGAAAGAAAGGCGCGCCGCTCTCGCGGCCTTTATGAATCCGTTTACGAGCCGGATGCCTCCGGATGCGACGCGTGGCGCGTTGGTACACACAGTGGAACGGAAGTGGACCCAGCTGGTGCCGAATCCGTCGCTCATTGTTTCTCCGTTTACGAGCAAACGCGCGTCAACCCTTGGCCTTCTCGCTTTGGTCGAAAACAATGAATTCAGTCTCGTCTCGAAATTTTCATCGAGTCGAACATTGTTTGTATTTGTATTATATGACGCTTCGATCGTTTTCAGCCGCGAGGAATATTAACGAAAACATATTTCCAAGGGGCGGCACAGGGGAAATTTTTCTCGGAAATATTTTTCTCTCTCCCGAGGCGAGGTGCAATTTGCTCGCGTCTCTGACGGGCCCGCGTCTCTGTTTTTAATTAAAAAACATCGTCGAGCCATTCGTACGCGCGCGGAGCGGCTATCCCGCGTGCACGGGCCGTGTTTCCGAATCACCGTGACGCACCGGAACGCGGACAAGTCGAAAAATTCTTGAACCGACGTTCCAACTGTCGATTTCCATGGATTTCCATAAATGAAAAACAGTGTTGGACTTTGAAAAACAAAACCGTTCTTTCTACCCAACGGGGAGAAAAACTTTTTTTCGAATTTTGTAAACTGTAAGATTGACTTGATGAAAAAAAAGAAAAAATAAATAAATAGAAAAAGAAATAAGAAAGTATCGGACGAAAACGCGGCGCGGTTAACGTTGTTAAACGTTGTCTGGATCGCTCGGATAGACGCGGCCCGTGCCCAGAACTTCGGACAATCTTCTTTGAGTGCAGTTGGGAGACGAAACAGCGAGGAGGAGGCTGGAACTTCTTGCTCGGCGCAATTAACTTGTTTACGACTTGCAATAGCTACGTGTATCCCTCGACTCTTGCTTCCTCTCCGCGTTTCTTCATTCGTTTAGAGAAATTTTTCTGCGACTGTTCTTTCCTCTTTTCTCGTCCGGGCACGACGTAGCACCGAGCGAGTCGAGGGCAAATGTAATTCACCGAGTGCTAACGCTGTTCCAACAACAAGTCGCAACAGGGTTTCTCGTTCGATTGTTTCGGAAATCTCAGTGTTCCGTTGTCCGCTAATTTATCGAGACGGTTTTTACGTTCGAAAGGGTATTGCGTGGGCGTTGCGTGTGACGCTCAAAAGAAAAATCAATCTGGAGCGCGATACCCGAAATGCATACGTCGCGCAGCCACGGTGATTCATTGGCTACCTGCTAGCCGTTTATTCTCATCGAGCAGGGCAAACGTTCTCCAGAAGCGAGCGATACCGCGGTTAAAATTGAGAGAGAGAGAGAGAGAGAGAGAGAGAGAGAAAGAGAGGAACGAGGACTGATACGCGCTTTGATTTAAAGTATCACTTTTATTGGCCCCGAGTAGCTTATTCGCCGCGAGCGGTCCGAATGAAGTGTTTATTCTCGACGAGCGATTCAAAGCCGGCACGTACCTTTCGCAGGCCATATTTCTCCCGCGACAGATACGTCTTGCCCACTCGCTACGATTTACTTTGTGCCCGCTACCATTAAAGGTTCGCCATTAGGCTTCGCCAAGCCGTATCGCGCCACCGAGCTAACAGTCCGAGTAAATATCCTGCGAAAAATGGATCCTGACCGAACTGGACCAACAAGTAAGAAAATTTCTCCCATTCTCGACGTAACGAGATAGGTTTGATTTATTCCCACTTGGTCGCGTAGCAGGCCGATTAATGAAACGCGATACAAGTCGATTAATCAAGCATAGGTCTCTCCGCGCGTGCCAGCGGATGATCTGATTTGTCGGGGAACTGTTCGATTTGCAAGCGACCCGGCGAATAATCAATACCACCCGCCGGAACCGATCTCGTTAAACAGAGACCGGGCCCGCGTTACCTCGCTTCTTGCGGCCATAATTACATTTACTTACCTCGGACCTTCATTTTTGTAATTTCCTCGCCGATCCCTTTTCCCCTTTTTCGTCCGTCCGTCCGTCCGTCCGTCCGGGCCAGCGGGGCGAACGAGATTTAATTAAAAGTCTATCTGCGTTCAATTAATAAAAAAGGGGGACCAGCCCCCCTCCCCCTTGCCTGGACTGGATAGTACCAGTGTAATCATCGATCCTGCGTAATTACTGGGCTTGTCAGTTGCTTTGATTAAATCCTCCTTCTTCCCTTTTCTCGATTCTTCTCCCTCCCTCTCGCCGGTTATCCTGAAACAGAAGTGGCAGAGGACGGCAGTCTGTTAATGTTGCATGCAAATTGCAACGCGTTACATTTTAATGTAGATCATAAGCTGTGGAATTTGGGTTGCAATCCGTGATTGCAGATTAGAGACTCGCATGAACGTTCGGATTAAATTTTTTTCTCTTTTTACCTCGTTACGAACGTAATGGAAAGCCTTGTTAGTCCTATCTCGTATTATTGGCCCACTTTTCCTATGCTAATTCACCATTTCTTCTCCTGGTCGGAGAGAGAGAGAGAGAGAGAGAGAGTTCATGATCCTCCCCCAATTATCGATACTATTCACCCCTCCCCCGAGTGGATTCTTGTTAGAATTTGAATCCAGTTCAATTGCGTCGTAACGACACTGAGAGCCCACTTTCCTTCTCACCCCCTCCCACCTTTTCAAGTGTTTATTCGCGATAATGTTTAATAATGTTAGGCCAGCGTAGCAAAAACAAAATCGATCGATAATGTTCGAAAATAATCGAATTGACCGTTGTAAAAACATTATTAATATAAAAAAGTATTGTAAAAAGTATTACAAGAATGTGTAATCGGCAGTTTAAGTGTTTTGAATAAATTATGAAAAATTTTAAATGACATTTAGAATTGTTATAGTAGAAACAATGCAGCAATTTAATTATTATTATGTAAATAAAGTGTTAGAAATAATCGTTAATGTCAGTGTTCAAACAACTGGGATACTCGAAAATTTGATTACAATTTAGAATTTATGCATCATTATTATATAAGTACAGGCTGTGGTATTAATTTTCGAGTCGACTTGCGTAGAAAATGATATTATTAATCGGCCATTCAACGTCAAGTTCAGACCATTGTGTGAAATTTTCTATTTTCATCAAAAAAAAAAAAAATTTCCTTTTAACCTCTTGCGCTGGAATGACATGCCACGCACGTCGAGAACTTTCTGTTCCAAAGTTGTAATATTATCTCAATTTTAAGTACATTTAAGTAAAACAAAATAATAAGTATATTATATTATATTAAATACTAAGTATATTATTATAATAGTATATCTAAGTAAAACAAAATAATAAATCCATTACTTCTCAATAATTTCTATCCAGCGATGTCATACCGACAAGTATACGGTTTGGTCACTCGCTATGGTCCGCAGTTCAGTTTGCCAGCGCAAGTGGTTAAAATTCCTCTACCAATTCGTGAAAATAGTAGTCAGCTAATCGATGACGATTTATCCAATTCCCCAGAGAGCCGAACTGCAAGCTGAGATCGTTGAACGTGTCCAAGTGTTTGCTGGGCGGATTAGACGCGGGCTGCCTGGGCGAGACCATTAGAAGGGCGCGGAATTTGGATGCTCTAAGAGCTGCCGGTGCGTCCAGACCGGCGGACGTGATGCCGTTGGTCCTCGCGCTGACAGAGGCGCCCTGTCTTCAGCTTCTTGATCTGGCCAGTCCACGTCTAGCCCTCGACGATCATCCTTCCAGGCTGCTCTGTCACGCACTCGCCAGGAACACCACTCTCAAGCTACTCAGTCTCGAGGGATGGACTTTTAGAATAGAGGTGAGTTCAACGCGTGAAATTTTCACGATCAGTGGTTGCGTCGCATTACAGCCGCTAACGAAATCGCGAAAATGTCTGGTGCATAACGTAGGCAACACGCGTGAAAGGCGAGTCTGTTTAAAGACTCTCGCAAGTCTATATGTTAGAAAAGAAAATATATTGCGCACTGTTTAAATAAATACATAACGAACAGAAAGTGTTATATTCTGACATATAACAGTATAAACTAACCTGTAGAAGGAGCAGATATAAAAATCACATTAGCTCTTTCACATCGTTCACAGACATTCTGGATTAATAAAAAAAAAAAAACAAAACACAATGTCGCGAATATCGTACGCTATATACTATATGCGTGTTGTAAAATTAATTGGTAAAGAGAAGTCAAATGAACCGATTTCCCTGAAAACTTGCCACGTTCCAGCCGGATAATCTCCCCGCAAGAAAGTAAATTGGCAAGAGGGCGATAATTCGAGGGCGAAAGAACAGTGGCTGCTGATTTGTATTCGTCGAGCAGCCGTACACGAGGGGAGGGAAGAGCCATAAAAGTCCAAGGGAGGAAAAATAAAAGGGCGGGGGCGTCGAGTAAGAATCGTTCGAGCGGCAGGCTTGCCGTTTCCCGGTTGGTGGCTCGCAATTCCGAAAGTGCTGCTGGCTGGTAATATCCCCGGTGCTGCTGCTCCGCAGCTGGCCGTAGCTATGCAGCAGAAAGTTGCATAACGGTCCCGACCGCCGCGTCCGACAAGAGAAAAAGAAAAAGAAAAAAAAAGAGAGAGAGAGAGAGAGAGAGAGAGCAGAATTCCAACTAGCCGTCTCGATAACAGCGTCTGAAAAGTTCGTGTAAGCTCGCTCGTGGCCGCTCGAACCTTCTTCAATTCTTTTCTTCCCGCCGATCACCGCTTTGACAACGCAAAACAAAAAACAACCGAGAGTGCGTTAAACTGGCAGACGGATGGCGAAAAATTCGGCTTACTCCGCGTTACCGATTCCATGTAAATGCTAACTGAAAATGCTTCCGAATCAATACAGTTTCACTGGTCTATCCGATTTCGTCCGTGATTCAGGATTCAGCTCGTGATTGTCAGTATGTAGAATGTATCGTTAGAAACTAGATTACAACTCGTGACCGTTTTCTACCCTCAAGAGTCGCGAGCATGAATTGAATCTTGCTTCCTCAAGCTTTTCTTAAGAGAATAAATTAAAGAAAAAAAAAAAGAGAAAAAGGAGGAACGATCACGCGATCAATGCCAAACGAACGGACGCGAACTTCTCCGGTTACGGTGTTCGAGGTTTCGAACGAAGTTACGAACACAGCGGGATCCATAAAAGAAACTGATGAGGTGTCCAGGGTCTACTAACAGTAGTAACTCGGTGGCTCGTAAAAAGAATCACTCGAGAAGTCTGCGGTTTCCAGCCGTGGGACTCTCCTCCCCCCTCAAGTCACGGGGATCTCTCTTCGCTCTCGTATCTCGGTGCTCTTCTTCTTCTTTGGAATTTTTAACGACACCGCAAGACGAATCGGCTCTGGAAATTCCATCGAGTTCCTCCCCGCCACTTCGTCCTCCAGTCTAACCAACTTCGACGGCGGTTGAAACGAGCGACCGGAAAGCGACCCGGTTCCGCAGACAGGAAATTCGACCGTTTTCACGCGACGAATATTCGCCGATTTTCTCCCCCTCTCGCACGCCACGCCGGCGAACGTAACGATTTCCCTCGCAAACCAGCGGAAACGCGCCAACGAGATTGGACGTTCCACGAACGATTACACGCGCGCGGCTCTCCCTAAACGCGTCGCCTAATCAGATTTATGACGCCGAGATTTCGCAACGACCGACTGCCGTGCCGGGGAGTCGAACCATCGGGCGACAGGTGTCCCTGATGCGCGTTATTTTCACACCGCGCTTTGATTAACGTCGAGAACCACTGGGGACGCGGTAGGCAATTGTACGTCGATTACTGCAATTTCATCGCCCGTTGCCCGTCCCCTCCGTTGAATAATTCGGAAGACTGAACCGATAAAACAACGTTGGGCTGGCTCGACGACGGGGATGGCTTCGATGGCAATTACTTTCGAACGCCAGGACGAAGATGTTTTGTTCGAGACAAAGTCGGTAACGAGTTGAACTTGGTCGCCGATTATAAACGAAACTTGGTCCTCCTCTCCCGTTCGTCTCGCTTTCCGCTTTACATGTTTAGTCGCGCCTAGAGTCGGTGTTATCCATCCGCACGTACATATTTCTCGAGTGTACATAACGTGGATATATCTCTTAAATGTTCCTTCCATTGAACCTTTTAACCTTCTCCACGCCGTGAGCCATTGTCGGCGACGAGCCATTGTCTTCGGTGAAGCACGAGAAATGGGGCAAAAGAGACAGCCGAAAAGAGAAAACACGACCGCGAAGATAATCCTAGCGGGGTGCATCGGCGGATTATCCGAGAAGTCGGATAAGCAATTAATCGTCGGCGATTAATGCTCGGTGGAGCGGAGCGGAGCGTGTGAAAGAAGACAAAGGACGAGCGACTTGGGGCATTGTTTGAGTTCGCGCATTAATTGCAAGGGGGGAGGAAACCTCCGCGTGAAAAGGTTAAAAGGTCCGATCGTTTTCGGTGAGGAAAGTCAGCGACGCGGGAAATTGTTTTGGTCGCAAACGTCGTCGTCTCACCGTGTCAATTTACGGTGGATCCTGTTTACTCGAAGCTCGGCTCGAACTCAATTAACTAATGTGAACGTACGTGAAGATGGGAAGATGGCTTACGAGCTCGTCGTCGAAGTTGCGGGCGCGCCGCGTTTCTCTAATTAGCGAGCAGTTACCGTTTCGAACTACTACTTCGATCGTCTGAAACGTCTTCATGAATAATACAACGCGCCCTATTTTATCGCGATCTCGCTGTTGCCGCCTTCGAGGGAACGTTCCAGCTACCAGGAAACGCAGCTCCCAATTTCACGGACGTTTAAGATGGGACACGGGTTCGACAAATATTCGACGTTCTATTTTTAACGCTGGCTCAAAGAGCGAAACGTAGAGCCGCGCGATAGAGGATAATATTGACTCTGCGAAGAGCCAAACTGTCGGCGGGCCGACCAAACACCGAGCCGCTCCACTGATTCTGACGCTTCGCTAACTTTCCCGCTTTAATTGGAAACCCATCGTTATGCAGGGTGCGTGACGTGGAAGGGAAGGAAATTTGCCAACTGCCCCTGGCCACCGCCACAGGTGAAACCGTCGAACGGGGGAAGAATCACAAGCCGTAAAAATTCTCTTTGTAGGAATTATTCGATCGGCGTCTGGCTGGGGACGTTCCTTTTCTACTGACTGAGCATCGAAGCTCGTTCCTACCGTCGCCAGCCAACCACCGTGAACTCCTTTGTTCCTCTTCTTGTCCGTATTTCGTCCCCTAGAAAATGCCATTCGTCGTTCTATTTGTCGAAGACGTATCGGAATAATGAAAAAACGAGAAAAGAAGAGAGAAGAAGAAGAAGAAGAAGAAAAAGAGGAATGTAAGAACGAAACTGAATTCGTCTCTTGTTCTTCTTCCGAAAGGTCGAACAGACTTGGAGAGTAAGCGTAAAAAATTTCGAATGCCAATTACGACCAGTCGTCAAAGCATCTATACTACCGGAAATACGATGTACCTACGTGTCACGGACTCCAAAGGAGCCCTTCGTGCAATTATCATAAAATTCGGGACTGCTCGTTCGCGTCATTGCTCCGTTCTTCTTCTTTCAAGAAGAGCTGTTATTTCACGAAATTGGCAGATCGAAAGTAGGCTAGGGCCGGGATTGATAGGAAGAAAACGAGGATAAACGCGTTTTCTCTCCGATAAAACGGATCTCCGTTTATACCCGCTCATCCGGAAGCCGTCCAACGCGTTGTTCCACGCGAGATTTATGTTTGCCCATGTCGCTTTATTATTCCGAATGCGTCGCGACGTTCCCGGGACGACGCAACCAATTTATTCCTGCTGATATCGCTCGAGGCTGATCAGCTGCGATCCTTTGCCAACTGGGAGACAACGAGAAAATTAATTAGAATTGTTGCTATACGAGAGAGTATTTTATTATCACTTTTATACACAGTAGATTCGTATTTTCTGTTGGCGGCCTCAAAGGCGACTGTTGTAGTTTCAAATGTGCCAGACAAATAATGTCCTTGATTCTGGGTTTACGATCGATCTGTAATCGATAAATAGTTGTACCTATCGATCCCAGATGGCGAAATTGTTTCTTGTCGATATTGTCGGTTTCCTAACAAGAATGACTGACGATTTTTTTTAGTTTCGCCTGGTCGTAGTAAAAAGTATATGCAGAGTGCAAAGAAAAATTTGCCCGTGGCTGTCATAGGTGAAATCTACACCTTTCATTCGAGAGAGATGTAAAGAATCTGCCGTAAAATTGATCTTGACCTTGAATTTCATTTTTTTATTGTATTCTACTCATCACGAAAATAAGACTTTCAAGAAACCTAATAGTTCTTTTGAAAAAATGCTAAAAAATGTTTCTTAATCATTTTGTGGACACATGCGTGCTAACAGCGACTTTATGATTGTCGTTACTGTTATGATGTCTGTATCACGTAGTGTTTACGCTTTGTTTATACTTATGTTAGTTTTATCATTTGATTATTTAGACTTACACTGATAGGCTACAACTATGGTAAATCAAATGTTAGCAAAACCTAATACGAAAATTACGTAAAATAGTCATGACGTATGCGTCCATAAAGAGCTATAAAGTCGCTGTTAGCACGCACACATTTTTTGCCATTTTTCAAAAGAACTATTAGGTTCCTCGGGAAAGTTGGTAGAAAACAATGCAATAAAAAAGAGAAACCTTTTCGACCTTGAAATTGCATTTCGCGGCAGGTTCTTTACGTGTATTTCGGACAAACTTTTCTTTCCACTCTGTACGTACACACGTTGGAAATGCTCGATCGTGGAGATCTCGATTCATTTAAAAGGCAAGAGGACGCGGACGAGAAATAAAGCGAGCGAAATCTCGTAGCCGAGATACTCGACGAAACCCCGGGCAAACAAGATATACATTCGCGACGCGTCCAAATGGATTTTCCATTATTAAAAATGCTGCCGTGTGATCCAATCTACTTAAATCTGCCGGCGGAGCTCCCGCGTCATGCGAACGCGGCCACGTTGTTCCGTAACCAATTTCCCCGGGAAATAGAATACAGGAGAAATGGCGCATCAAGTGAACGAATCGATCATCGCCGGCCTAGTGGAACGACCTGGCCATTACTCGGAAACGCTTCTTCAAACATCTCCCTATTTATTATCCAGCTGGATGATTTATAAGCCTGCTGCTTCTGGCTGATCGCAATAATGAAACGTTGGTCAACACCTACGGTTCGACAAATTTTTAAAGTTTCCATCTTACGCGTGATACAAAAGAAACGAGAAAGAAACGAACAGAGATCGCAGAAGTGAAATTTCTCTGATGTTTTTTTGCATCGTTTGCAAACGTATTTTCCCAATGTTCGTCGATCCGGGGACGATTCACGTTTAAATTCACTGGAACAAAGAGGAGCGGAGCCGAAATATGGGAGAGCCTCGGCCGCCATAAAACACAGACGTATGGGGTGGGGAGGACCCTGAGGTTTTCCAGACCGCTCAATGTCGTCGGTAATATTGCCTGCGATAAATTACGCGGCATCCCATTCCAGCGCGACCCATCCCGCCCCGACATCCTTTTTCCACGGATCCTGACCATCTCGTCTCCGCGTGGAGCTCGTTGAAAATTTCCATGAAAATGCCGCTGCGTCTCACGTAGTATCTCGCTCCACGCTTCTATTATGCAAACCGATCCTATGAAACATCGTTTATTCAAAACAATGTGAGAATTTCCACCGGTTTTCAACCCCGGTGAAGATGATGGCGGTCCGTGAGAAACCGGTGGTCGAAGATCAATCGCAACCACCGTCGTTCAGCGACTTTGCCTTTACTTTACTTTACCACGTCGAACGGTGAATCGATATTCATATCGGGAAGGACGTCGTTCGCGGTATCGCGATCCCGAAAGATATAAACTCGAGTTCGTTTCGACAGAAATTGCAGCCCGATAAAAAAAAAAAAAAAAAAAAAAATAAACGTTGTCGACTGCCTCTCATCGTGTCCCTACTCTGGCGGCTCTCATCGTCAGTTTCGGAATGGATTTATCAACGGACCGATGGCGGAACGTGATCGTTTAATCGCATCGGTAACGAAAACTAAACGTGCAGTAACGCACGAAAAGAGAGAAAGAGGGATTGGTGGCGGGTTGAAATGCGGGCAGGGGTCTCGGCAAGCGCATAATTCGCAGAATATCCAGGATAAATTGTGGAACCGTAAAATCCTACCGATGGCTGGGTGATATCACGCACGGAAACAATGAAGCGGGACGAACCCGGCCAGGTTTAATATAATCACGCACAAGGGTGATTATAAACAATGCAGCTCGTTCAAGTTCTCTCTCTGTCTTTCTGTCTCTCGAGCCTCTTCCTCTCTATGCTCCTCTGTCATCCCTCTCCACCTCGCTGCCGCGCTCCGCGACGTTATTGTTCGGCCTGTCACGATCTGCGATGATTTCCATTTAAAAAGAATGGTGCCACGGCTGCCGATTCATTGAATTTATGCGGCCACTCTGGTATTTTTCACCAGATACTCGACCGGACTATCGCTTTACGTATCAACCGATGACTATCGCCGAAAAACAATTTTCAAGCACGAGCCTGCTGTCGACCACCTCTTGCTTTTCACGCGTAGTACGACCTCTGATTTCGACGTTCTCGGTGTCCGTGACAGAAGTTGCGACCGATGGGACTCTCTTCTGTTGAAAGTCACGCGATACCAATCATTAAGACGAAGGCATTGTAGATTCATCGAAATCCTTCACCACGCGAAGTAGGTAATTTTGTGACTTCGTGTTTCCAAGCACCAGGAACGTTCTACGAGCCATCTAAATTTGTACACCGGAAGCTCCCCTTTTGATCTCTCTCGTTTGTTTTCCATGCACCTCGACGTCAAAAGTCCCTCCAGAAGCACAGGTTGAAAACTCGTAGAATTCAATCGATTTAATCGCATCCTCGAATCACCGACTCACCGCAGGAATTCCTGTTTCGTTGGCAAGTATTTAACAAAAGAGCGTTCTTCGGCGTGTCGACAAATAGCGGAGGTTCATTACGTTTCGCCGTGGAGCGAGGTGTTATCGCGTTCAGCCGGCGCTCGTTCCTGGTGTCACGGGACTATTACCACGATGACTTTAAGGAAAGTTAATACTCTAGAGTTAAACTCTAATATTCTAAGTATGACACTTTTTGATATCAAATACCGACGCGTATTATCACGTATGATTATAACAACGAAGGAGCACAAACTAGAGAAGTAAACTTGGCGAGAAGGCGAACAAGAAATGCTTTTATTCATAGTTTAGCTTGGGTATATATAAGACTTTATGAAGTAGAAAAAGTAGGTATCGTGTATTTGGAAAACATCTGTTGATCGCTTGAGTTGGCTTCCGAATCAGTAGTGGACCTTGACTGGATTTGGGTGATAATGCTGATTCTTGGGTTTCTGAGTCAGTAGTGGACCTTGGCTGGATTTGGATGATAAGACTGTTTAGTGAACATCTGCTGATTTCTTGGGTTGGCTTCTGAGTCAGTAGTGGATCTTGATTGAGCTTGAGGTGATAAGGTCTTCACACCGGCGTTGGCCAATTTTCTCGACGTTATTCAAACCAGAAAGGCAACGTTCTCTGCTGAAAGCGAGTCGCGCAAATCTGCCGCGGTGAAATGATTTCGCGCGAATGAATGAAGGGCCGAACACCGTTTGGATTCGAGCGCGAGGCGAAAATAATCCCGAGAGAAAAGAATCGTGAAACTCGCGAAACTTGGTTAGTAACAAGATGGAGCAACAACGAGACTGCGACGACGTTCCCTCGGACGAATGAAAGCGAAAGGATTTGCCGAGCATATCCCCCCCGTTTTAATACGTCTCGTGGTAAAATATTACGACGGCATCCTCTTTCTGCAGCTGTAGACGGATTAATTTCGGTCCAACGCCGACGAAATAGAAGCGCTCGATTAAAATACCGAGCGACACACTTGTTGCGTCGATCATCGGGCAAACATTTTTAAATCGCGGCTCGTTTGCCGAGTAACTGTTTTCACCGGCTGTTCTCACCCTCATGAAATATTCCTCTTGTATCGATTCGTCGTACAGTTTCATCGAACCGCGTTAAAAGTTCCACTCCGCGAATTTCTCCCAGTTTGGGAATTTTATCGTGAAAACGGGATTCTTCTTCGAAGCAAAAGGGGTAAAGTGGAAACGTAGCTCGGCTCAATTTCGTCACTTGACAACTGCTTTTCAAAACTGCGATTTCCACGTTCTGGCATTCATCCAGAGAGAAAGATCGTTTCCGCGAGGAAGGGATTTCGATTCTCGTTCTTCGTGGCGATTTCCAGGGCGTTGCGCCGCATTCGAAGGGAAACGAGTGATAAAACGTCGAGGAGCAAAGCGACGCGATGGCAAACCCGATTTGGAGATTAGTCGCAGCTTGTTAGCTTTAACGTCGTCGTCACCGGTGCTTCGTCTCGCGTCGCACGTCGGCGCGACGCACGCGATCCTATAATCTCGGAAGCCATTGTGCCTGCACACATCGCTTTGTTCTCGTCTCATCGCCGAGGCAACGTAATATCGCGAGCGATTTCAACGTCGCGACGCTCTCAGGCAAGCTACTTCCTCGTTTCACGCCGTTCAGCAGTCCTTCGTTAATAATGGAGACCGCCGCCACCCATCAAGGATCAAAGACCCGCGATGTGATCTCGCACGGGCAGATTTCCGGCATTCCGTTGATATCAAACCTTTGCCTCGCGATATGTCGCGTCCTATGGATTCGATTTGACAAAACGAAATTTCCACGTTGACTTTATTTAGCTTTGGAGTGTTACTGGCGGAATTGAACGGCCGGAAGGATGCGTAAAAATGTAAGAGACACGATGGTTGTTCCAGGAATCAGAGAGCCTAGCAGTATTCTCCGAGCTACTCAGATACACGAGCGTCCGCGAGCTGAGCCTTTGTAACGCCCGGCTACATCTGGCCGTCCACGAGGGTCCTTTGTCGAGATTAGGACGTCGGGACGACGCCGGGGCCGAGCTGTTGAGAGCCGCACCGCCTCCTGCCTGTCCCGCGATTGTGTTTCTCAGGCTGGCCGGTTTTCAAGTGAGTAATCCTCTTTTTCCAGACCACCGAGAGAGCGAGAAGCATAGCAGCCGCCCTCCGTCTTCTCCTTCTCGGCGAGTTTCGCAGTCGCAGAATCAAATCACCGACCGTCTTTAACGAGTCGAAACCGTGCGGATGCTTCTCCGTTCTCAAGGAATTCTCACCGCGTTTCGAGTGGATCCCCTCTTTCTCTTTGTGCCATAAATAGAGAGGTTAATTGGACCGTATCGACGTAACGTAGACTGCGATATCTAGTTGTAAGCAACTCCAACTTGACCTAAAAGCAACTCTCGTATCTCCGCGTTTTCGAGGACCCTCCCCCCGACATACCTAAATACTGGTATCGCGTGCACCAGAACAAGAAGGTAACAAGGCATAACACCGACCAACGAGAATTCGAGTCGACGTATCGAGTTGCCGGAGAATTCGACGCGAGACACGACGCGACACAACATGTTCCAGACACTCGAGTCCAGTCGAACTCGCCGATTCGTAATTCGAGGCCGTCGATGATTCGTTTGCGGTTTGGCGTCAGCGCTCGTTTCTGACCGCGATAGATTGGTCTCGGCGTTCTCTGTTGCGTCGTAAATCCAACTACGATACGACGATCGATATTACGTTCCTCGATTCGTTGCGTCAAATCTTTTGAAAAATTTCGCCACGCGAAAGACAACCGGTTCCTTTTAACTTTCGTTTCATTCCGTCCCATAAGGGATGGACTGATCAAAATTCGTACGGTGACTCTCGAAATTCGTCTTCTCGACAGATTCACTCGATCTTCTCTCTTAAAATTTTCCCCCCCGGTCGAAGAAAAAAAGAAAAAGGGAAGCCGGATTTTTACGAACAGAGCGGTGCACAGCATTATTTTTGATTCCAGGTGACAGTGAACGATCGTCTGGCGCTACGAGGGCCGCTTCTTTTGCCATTCCTCGCGGGCTTCACCGCTCTCAGCGAGCTCGACCTTTCGTTGGACAAGTCCACCATAGGAGGCAGCAGCGGGTCGTTGCTCTTCATCGACGACAAGATCCTGCAACAATTCTTCGCCTGCCTCTCCTCCCACTTTCGGAATTTACAGTCCCTGAGGATCAATTTCTGGCGAGTCACGTTGGAGGACAGCGAGAAGACGATGAGACAGATCGCGAAATACCTGAAGCTGTGCAACCTGAGTTTCCTGAAGGCGAACGGACTGATCGTGACCGACAGCGCGAAGAAGGTGCAGATGGAGCACGTGTTCGTCCAGACGATCCTCACGCACCTTCAGTATTTGACCTGGCTCTGTCTGGACGGGGTGGACTTGACGGAGAGCCAAGCTTCGAGTATTGGAAAATGCGTGAGAGATCGGTTCCCAGGTACATCGTTGGAGATCAGCGCCAAAGACGTGCACGTAAAGTCCGTGAAGGCTTTGGTTGCCGCGATAGAGGAGGGGGGAAGAGCGGAAGTCGTGTACACCGGCGGATCGAACTGTAGACTGAAGATCACGAAGATCCAGAAGAATAGCAAGAGCAAAAAGAAGTGAGGATTCGTCCGAGCATCCTTGGTTGTCGCTGACATTGAAACTTGTTGATTGTCCGGCCACGAAAGAACGTGATCATAGAAATATAACGATTGGAATTTGATCCGTAGATGAACGAAATAGATATAGAAAGAGGCAATGTTCGATGTGTTGGTTGCGCGTGACTCCCGAGTATCCGTGAACGATCCGGTGAAACGGATCTTGGAAGGAAGAAAGAGGCTAACAGAACGACTAACGCGAGAATATAAGCGCGTAGTTATATATGGAGAGAGAGAGAGAGTGATACGAGATCGACGACGTTAGCCGTAAAAGGCATAGAATAAAAATACTCGTACAATGAAGGAGGAAAGAATGGAATGAAGCCGACACTTTGTGGATTTTCGTCTTACTGTGATTTCCTTTTCTGCGCATCGTCCCTTTCATAACAATATAGATAATAGATCGTAGCGTTGTTAGCTCGAGCGTTATTCTTGATGGTCCGTTAAAAACGCAGAAAAATGTCGAAATCGTAGAGATAGGATCTTTGTTTAAAAAAAAAAGATAGAGTATATTCTCTCTCTCAAGAGAGAGAGAGAGAGAGAGAGAGAGGGAGGGAGGGAGGGAGAGAGAGAGAAGGAATAAGCAAACAAAGGAAATGGAATCGATAAACACAAAGCGAAATAAAAATTTATCGCGAGACCAAACGAAGGAAATATTTAAAAACGTATAAGAGAAAAAAAAAAAAAGAAAGAGGCTGTTGCAACTAGATACGTTCGTTGTTGTTAGATGGACTGTAAGATATGATTCAGAGTAATATATTATTATTATTATTGTCATTGCTACGATTATTATTATTATTATTATTCCTACGATCATTAGTATATTCTGATCATGATTATTAAATGTTACGATCGATTGAATTGCAATCCAAGAGTGAAATGGCTTTAACCGGATGGCGCGTTGTTGGAGACTTGATGAAATTTTATAAATTATATTCTATAGTAGCGGGTAGAAAGAAAATACGTATCCAATGAGAAACAGACATCCTCGGATTTCAGAATTATGCGATTACATGCTAAATAGAAAACGATGGCTATTACATTGTATAAAAATAAGGAAACGGAAGAGGTACATCAAAACATATGTGCGTATATCTCTGCGAGTAAATAACAACAAAAAAACGTGCAACATACAACTGCCAAATCGTAATGTAGAGTTTAATCGCGACCATTATTATATCACGAATTTGTTATTTTTTAGAATAAGCGCGATACCGATCTAGAGCGCAAGATTGTGATTTTCTGCGATCTGTTTGCCAATTTCCGAGCAGAAATTAAATTATGATACTGCCATGCACCTTACAGAAAATAATAATAACAATAATAATGAAAAAAAAAAAAAAAACAAGGGGGAAGAAACAAGTTTAACGCGAAACAAATCAACGAGTAAGTTCGATCGGCTTCAGTTCAGCTTTGTACGGAAAGCAGTTCCACGGTGTTCACTCGATTTTTAATACCGTTAGCGAGGTACCAGAGTTTTTGATTCTCTTTTAGATAGGCAAGTATAGCCTCGCAGGGACGAGAGTTCCATACAATTTTTCATTTTTGATAGTTTGTTATGTACATAAAACACCGCACGAGACACAAAGGCATCCTTATCGAAAATACGATCTGTTAAATTTTGCGAAGCCGTTTCAAGGAATAAACTAAATTCAAGCGGCAAAAGACTGAAGCTGGCATCATACGCGCGCGCGCGCGTTACTCGACGCGTTCAACGTTGTTCCATCGTGTGGAATCAGCTTCAGCCATTTTATTATAAATATTTATGTATTTATATGTGTATACATATCCTTCAAATAAATGTAATATGTGTTTGAAAACCCTTGGTATCAATTTCCGATTAAATCTGCAACTGTTTAATTTTCTACAAATATATTTCACTGAAAGGATAAATGGACCGTAAAACGGACGGTAAAAGGACCGTGAACGAAGTACTCGAAGATTGTTATAAGTGGTTCTCTTTATTATTTACACGCTGCCGATATCGGAGATGTACTCTTCCAGATTTCTCGTTTATACAATCGTGTTAATAAAACGTAACAATGTCGACTTTCATCTGGGAAATTACATACATACATAGCTCTTCGTAGAAGTAATCTCATCGAATAGGACTGCAAATAATTCGGTCGTTTCAGTGTACAGTGGTACAGAAACTCGATAGAAAAAATTCTTCTCTACGTTATTACTAAATATTCTGTATAATTTCTACCGACGTTTCATTCCGTCCTATCGATACTTATATTTTGGCTTACATCATCACAATCTCAAGTATACAAATAATATACTTCGACTACAATGGAATGTTCCTGGTCATGCTTACAATTTATGCTTACAAATCTGCCGTTAATTCTAATTTGATAATGTCACTTTTCGGAGAATGTGTTGCAACACTAAGAAAAACGATGAACAAATGGTTGACTCTTTGCGTGCACATGAAGCGGCATATAAATGTAAATGTAAAAGATCATGCTTTCGAAATGATGACATTGTCTCATGTTTTATTTCGTCCATGTGCAATTAAATGAAACGATGCGAAGAAAGTTTCATTGTCGTTTAAAGAAACTCCATAATTCACGATTACAAGTATTTTCATATTACTTGCAATTTATCGATTGGATTCATTAATACAAAGGATGATTCATTAATACAAATATGTACTCGTATATTGCCATGACAGGTTTATCTTCAGCGCGTTAAGCGTTTATTGCCAATGAGATGAATCTACTTAACGCGGACAGTACATCAAAAGTATGGTAAATTATAAGGAAAGCACAACTTTGTTTAAACATAAAATTACTGATTTATATTACACTTTTTTAAAGTTGTATTTATATATAACATATATTTCACATTTTCTATAATAGTGACTAGCTGTCTACAGCTGTCTGCATATGATTATGGCCACTGTTCATGTGCGAATATGACCTTTTTTTATCTTATGCACAATTGACCATGATAATCGAATCAGTAATTTAGTCGAATTGTATTATAAATCAATGCGGTAGCAAAGGCGACAGTAGTAAAAACATTTTTATAGGCTCAAATTAGCCTTGTAAAGCTAAAAAGATGTAATCCACTGCACCTTCGATCTTTCAAAATACATTTAAATGCATTTTTATATAAAAACTTCAATAGATAATATAAAACATTATGTGCGACCCTTGGCCGACAAATTGTACAAAGTTCTTGTAAACAAAGGTAACCTATAACTTTATGGAAGGTACCTACAGATGAACAAATATTTGTATTTACAATAGAATTAGGAGGAAATGAAATCGATGATTTTCATTCGCGATAAATTCAAATCACAAAATGCATTAACTTGACGAAATTGGCGAAATATCTTGTATAGCAAGCTTTTATAGCTCTTTCCTCTTTTCTTTCAACTTGGATAAATCTTCTAGATAATCTGTAAACCAAGGTGATATTCACTGTTGCTTAGAATAAGGTATCTGCACAATTTTAAAATGGCAAGAATATTTTGCACAAGTGCAATATTTCTTGCTTGCTTTTGACAAACTCCACAAATCAGTATAGTCTTGGAGCACTTATAAGAACACTTTATGACATGCGTACTTTTCATAGATCACATAGGTGCGTAATCCAACTGAACAGTTAAATGCCTTACTCCAGCTGCTTGGAAAATCATTTGAGTGTGTGCTACGACGTACTTAGGCTCTACTGTTCTAGCAACTTCCAATTTCAAACAACCGACGTACACATCTGAGCACAGGGTCCAGAAATGTGGTTCTTGCACACTATATACCCCAGCCAATTGTGTCACTTTATTGTAACATTGTGGCAGAATATGATCCAACGCAGCTGGTTGTCTTTGCATCAATATCTCCCATGAGTCTTTCATCAAAGACAGCACACTTAGAACTATCAATACTGAGATCAGCATAGAACAAATTGGATCAGCTATAAACCAACCGAACAAACGCATCAGCACTGCTGATATAATTACACCTACAGATCCAAGAGTATCTGCTAAAATATGCAAAAAAACTCCCTTCATGATCTGAGAATTTGTACCACTGAAAGATGGATCAATTTCAATATCATGATGATCATGGCCGTCGCTGTGGTTCAAGTGAGAATGCGCGTGACTTCCATGAGAATGAGAATGGGAATGACCATGTCCCATTCCATGGCCATGTCCATGTCCATGACGAAACACATACATTCCTACTAAATTAACTATTAATCCCATAATGGACACGACCAAAAGTCTTTCGTGTTTTATCTCTGGAGGCTCAATAGATCTTTCCACAGCTTCCGACATGATGAACAGAGCAATAAAGAATAGAAGCAGGGCATTGACAAATCCTCCCAAAACTTCTGCTCTGACATAGCCGTAGGAGTATCTTTCATTTGCCCTCCATTTCGTTATAACCGATGCAGCCAAACCGAATAATAAACCAGTACAATCAAAGAACATGTGAAAACTATCTGATATTAAACCCAAACTGTTCGTCCATATTCCATACAACAATTCTATGCAGGCAAAGGATAAATTTAATAAAAGAAACAAAAATAAATTCCTGGTATTTTTGTCAGAGAATATTAGACGTTTCCATCCCAACAGCTGCTCCTTTATTCTGCTGCCAAGATTCTTTGAATCTTTGTGCGAAAGTGGAAGCATTTTCTCTGGCACAAGCTTGTTTGCAGTAATGAAGTTTATCCTACAAAATAAAAATATCGTTTTTCAGTCAATTAAACTTTAGTGTTCTATACTACAATACAATTTTCCCGAATAAACCATTTAATTAACTGTATTCACATTAACATAAGCATTTAAATAAAAAGTTTGTTTTATAAAAAAAAACATTCGCAAGATAAGACTAAAAATATGTTGGAAACGTATGGACAAACACAAGTACAGCTAATTAACGGCACTTTAGTTTATCTGTTCATGACATCTATTAACAATGTTGAAAATCGAATTTCTAAATGAAACATCTTGTTTACAATTAATCAGCACGTTATCGCCAATTCAGTTGTCTCGGTATATTTGCTTAAATGTTAAGCAAATATATAGAATAGAAGCACGATTGACACGTCGCAACGGTGAAAGGTCTTAACCTTACATACGGTAATGTTCAATGAGGAAAAAATTACCTTCCGTGTAAAACTAAATATAAATAGACGTTCGTGGTTGATTAAATTACACTAAAAGATATCGTTAGCGCAAATGCATTTTGTGAACGTGTCAAAAATGTGAAAAACCGGGGCTTAAAAACACACGGAGTAGCGCCATGCTTCTCACGTTACAGCCACTCCTGAGTGACTGACAGTTGAATTCGATATTACTTGTAAGATGGTGTGACGCGTCTCAGATATTTTACAATAAAAAAATTGATTTCAAAAATTAATTTATCTGTCCATCATTAAACTGTTTCTCAAACTTTCTACTTCCTTTTTAAAAAATGATATTGATTAACGTAGTAAAATAGATGTCATAAGTATTAGAGATAGCATTGTACGCATTTCCTTTTTCTTGTAGTGCCTATGTTGATCATTGTTCTCAATCATAGTACTACAAATATAAATAGTAATTCCGTATTTAATTTATATAAAAATATTATAATTGTAACAAAATATACAATTACTAATGATAAATGATAAATAACAAATATCAAATAACTAACATTAAATAACGAATGAATGAATTTCTACTATGGTTACAATATATATAAATATCTGTAAACATTTCCATAGTGATAATTAAATTATTAACAATATTTAAATATTCTATTGTTTATCGGAAATACCTCACGACGGAACGATTTAATGAACATAGATGGCGTTGATCTAAATTCATTTGTCGCGACCGCTATCTCCACGCAATTAAAATCAGCGCCACTAAGGCCGCTCAATCTTCCCGTCGAAAGGTGAGTTTACAAGAAAACTAGCAGCGATATCTTTCTTTAACAAAAACTAGAAAACCTGAGAAAAGTCGGGAAAATTCGGGAAAAGGAGTTTTTCCCCTCCTTCGCAAACCGTGAATATGAAACCTGGTTGAAAAGAGGAAAAAAGCCTTTGTCACCTATGCATCGCCTCGGCTACTTGAGTAAGAAATTGAAGAAACATTAATACCCTACGTCTTAGCATTTGTAAGTGTAGAATTATCACTAAACGCATAACTGTGATAGTTCACCAAAGACTATTCCCCAAAAAATATATATTTATCTCTTGTGTGAACAGATTACTACCTTACTCACTGCAGTTCCTACACTTCGAAAGTAGAGATCGGTCGCTACATTCTTTGAGTTTTGACTACTATTATGGTAAGTACTTGTGAAACATGTTCTATATTTAATAATTAAATAAAATAGTTTTATCGGATTTTTTTGTGTAGTGCAATGTTATTATCTTAAAAATTTATTAAAAGTTTCATACAAATTTTACATTCGACCAAGATAAGCTTATAGACGACTTAACAATTTCATCCACATGGTCTATACAATGCAATCGAGATATTTTATTCTAATACCATTCAATTTGTTTAAAATATCTTTTAATTAGCTTCAAAGGATCGACATTAATTTGTGCGTACTGCCAATTTCTACAAATAGAAATAGGAATTCATCTTGATTTCGTTTACATGGCAATTCTAACCTCTATCGTTGATTTAATGTTTTGTTGACACTTTGAGAAGTTATTGAAAGATAATTATTCGTAAATTAATATTTTAATGTAAAAATTTTTCCTTGATTTAGTTTGTGTACATAATGCATAATGCTGATTCAATGAATCTGATTAATAACCAATATCATTCCATTATATTTGTATTGCGGACAATTGATTTAATGTTTTTTTTGTATTTCAGCCGCCTAAGAAGGATACCAAGGGGTCTTCGAAACAACCACAGAAGACACAAAAGAAAAAGGAGGGTGGATCTGGTGGTAAAGCCAAAAAGAAGGTTTGTATGTTGATTGTTTGCATTGACGGTTAATCTGCAAATATATTTGATGATGAACATTTATAATCTTGATAAACGGTGGAAGTAAAAATCTGATTTAATGAGTCTGATTATTGGTTTTAATAAGTATGTTTTGAAAGACTGGAACCAAATAAATATTTACATTTTTTTTCCTTTTCTTTCTTTTGTAGAAGTGGTCCAAAGGAAAAGTACGTGATAAGTTAAACAATCAAGTATTGTTTGACAAAGCCACATACGAGAAATTACTAAAAGAAGTACCTCTCTACAAATTGATCACACCATCTATTGTCAGTGAAAGATTAAAAATTCGTGGATCACTTGCCAGGAGCGCATTGATGGAATTGCAACAAAAAGGACTTATTAAACAAGTTGTACAGCATCATGCACAACTTATTTATACGCGTACCACTAAAGGTGATGATCCGGCTGCATAATTTATTCTTACTTTTAATAAAAAATATTAATAAATTCAAATACTCATTTATTTTCAAATCCACTCCTTTGTTCTGTTGCCAAGATTGTTTGAATCTTTCTGTGAAAGTGGAAGCATTTTCTCTGGCACAATCTTGTTTGTAGTAATAAAGATTATTGTACAAGATAAAAATATTGTTTTTCAGTCAATTAAACTTTAGTGTTCTATACTACAATACAATTTTCCCGAATAAACCATTTAATTAACTGTGTTCACATCTTAACATAAGCATTTAAATAAAAAGTTTGTTTTATGAAAAATACATTCGCAAGATAAGACTAAAAATATGTTGGAAACGTATGGACAAACACAAGTACAGCTAATTAACGGCACTTTAGCTTATCTGTTCATGACATCTATTAACAATGTTGAAAATCGAATTTCTAAATAAAACGTCTTGTTTACAATTAATCGCACAATTCAGTTGTGTCCATATATTTGCTTAAATATTACATAGAATAAAAGCACAATTGACACGGAATGGTCTTAACCTTTCATACAGTAATGTTCAATGAGAAAAAAATTTCCGTGTAAAACTAAATATAAATAGACGTTCGAAGTTGATTAAATTACACTAAAACATATCATTTGCGCAAATGCATTTTGTGAATGTGTCAAACATTTGAAAAACCGGGATCCAAAAATACAGCGCCATGCTTCACGCGTTACAGCCACTCCTGAGTTGAATTCGATATTCTTGTAAGATCATGTGATACGTCTCAGATATTTTACGATAAAAAAATTGATTTCAACAATCAATTTATTTGTTCATCATTAGACTGTTTCTCAAACTTTCTATTTCTTTCTTAAAAAGTGGTATTGACTAACGTAGTAAAATAAATGGCATTGAATGTCATAAGCATTAGAGATGGCGTTGCATTCATTTCCTTTTTCTTTCTGAGTCGACTGCCATCATGGTGCGTACTTGTGAAATGTGTTCTATCTTTAACAATTAAATAAAATAGTTTCATCAGATCTTTTTTGTGTAGTGCAATGTTATTTTAAAAATTTATTAAAAGTTTCATACAAATTTCACGTTCGACTAAAATAAACTTATAGACTTGACGATTTAACAATTTCATCCACATGGTCTATACGAGGCAATCGAGATATTTTATTTTAATACCATTCAGTTTGTTTAAAAAATATTTTAATTAGTTTCAAAGGATCGAGAGTAATTTGTGCGTACTGCCAATTTCTACAAATAGAAATAAGAATTCGTCTTGATTTCGTTTACATGGCAATTCTAACCTCTATCGTTGATCTGTTGTTTTGTTGACACTTTGAGAAGTTATTGAAAGATAATTATTCGTAAATTAATATTTTAATGTAAAAATTTTTCCTTGATTTAGTTTGTGTACATAATGCATAATGCTGATTCAATGAATCTGATTAATAACCAATATCATTCCATTATATTTGTATTGCGGACAATTGATTTAATGTTTTTTTTGTATTTCAGCCGCCCAAAAAAGATACCAAGGGGTCTTCGAAACAACCACAGAAGACACAAAAGAAAAAGGAAGGTGGATCTGGTGGTAAAGCCAAAAAGAAGGTTTGTATGATAATTGTTTACATCGTAGGTTAATCTGCAAATATATTAGATGATGAACATTTGGAATCTTGATAAACAATGGAAGTATAAAGCTGATTTAATGAGCCTGATTATTGGTTTTAATAAGTATATTTAAAAGACTGGAACCAAATAAATATTTACATTTTTTTCCTTTTCTTTCTTTTGTAGAAGTGGTCCAAAGGAAAAGTACGTGACAAGTTAAACAATCAAGTATTGTTTGACAAAGGTACGTACGAGAAATTACTCAAAGAAGTGCCGCAGTACAAGCTGATCACACCTTCCATCGTTAGCGAAAGATTAAAGATTCGTGGATCGCTTGCGAGGCGAGCCTTGATTGAATTACAGCAGAAAGGGCTTATTAAACAAGTTGTACAGCATCATGCGCAACTAATTTATACGCGCACTACTAAAGGTGATGATCCGGCTGCGTAATTTGTTCTTACGCAATATATAATAATGTTTAATAAAAAATATTAATAAATCCAAATACTCATTTATTTTCTAATCGAATACGTACGGAACGAAGTTAGGAACAAAGAATACCTTCGCGCTCGCGAATCGATCGTTCGTTGTTTTTAAATATAATGGCTGTGTTCGAATGAGACACGGATCTTTTCCTCTGCCCGTTCCGTACCAGGTACAAGCTGGTGTCGACGCTCAAAATTCTAGTGCACACAGCCATTTGAAATGACAGAACGATTCCCCGACTCGGGTTCATCGACGTGATATTCAGCGAGGCGTCCTTCGGCTCCTTGCGGAGCGCGAATTGCAACATCTCTGGCGACAAAATTGGTCGAATTACGTACAAGGAAGGTACGAGTAGGCCTCAAGGATAGAAAAACTTGCCGCGATACAAAGTACAAGAACGATAAGAACACGTACTTTTTGTGCGGGAAAACGGAAAGGAACGAAAGGGTGTGTGAACAAAGAAGAAGAACCAGTTATCCGTTATCAGGATCCAAAGTCCAATGAAGATCCACTGGCATGGCCACGCAACTCAGCCCCCGAAATTCGGAGGTGAACGCTCTTGAGCAGCGGGGCTATCTTATTGGCAAAAAAATCGGACAGGTTATTTACCTCCAACCCTGTATTACCCACCTGCTCGTTAACCTCTTTCACTTCCCCTCTACCCGCCTCTTGCGTTCATTCGACAACATTATCTTCTCTGTTTCTTTTTGAACTCTGTACGTTGCCTCGCGTTCTCGTCCTCCTTCGTAGAACCATTACGCGTTCTTTGTACTTTTTAGTTCTTGCAGCTCGAACTCGTTTTATTTCATTGAATAATCATTCCCGAAGGCAAACTGGAATTTTGTAAATGTTAGGGCTCGTACGCGACCGTACATCTGGCAGAATACGTGGACGGAACGAGCTCGAAAAAATTGCGATTAGCCTGTAAGATATTCGACAAGCAGAAAGCGCCGCTTGATTTCCTCGATAAGTTCTTCCCTCGTGAACTCGAAATCCTTACAAAGATCGAAAATCCTCACATCATTCAAGTAAGATCAGGACGGATCAGGAAACGAGACGAATATGCTGTTTAATTGTATGTAAAAAAAAAAAAAAAAAAATTACAGGTGCACAGTATATTGCAGCGTGGTCCAAAAATCTTCATATTTATGCGGTATGCGGACAATGGCGATCTCCTGGACTTTGTAAAAAGGAACGGTGTCGTACCGGAGCAACAATCGAAGCTCTGGTTCAAACAGATGGCTTCCGGTCTGCATTACCTCCACGGGAAGAACATCGCCCACCGTGATCTGAAATGCGAGAACATCCTCTTGTCCAGGAAGTTCAATGTCAAGCTTGCAGACTTTGGTTTCGCGAGATTCTGCGTTGATCACGATGGCAGACGCGTTCTCAGCGAGACGTATTGTGGCTCCGCGGCATACGCTGCACCGGAAGTTGTTTCCGGCACCCCCTACAACCCAAAACTGGCGGACGTCTGGTCTCTCGGCATAATTCTATTTATCATGTTAAACGCATCGATGCCCTTCGACGACTCGAACTTGAAGAAACTGTTGAAGGATCAGATGTCGAGGAACTGGATGTTTCGGTCGCGAGTGCGGGAAACAGTGTCTGCGCTGGCAAAGAGCATCGTCAAACACATTCTAGAACCGGACATTACTTTGAGGCTAACGCTAGAAAGGGTTCTGAGCCATGAGTGGGTACGCACGAAGAAAGAGAAGCTTGGATCTCTTACCGGTCGATTGGTACATTCAGCACCGCCTATTCACGCGCAGGTGATTCATCTTAAATAAATAAAAAAAAAAAAACGAACAAAAAATTTCCAACACGTTATACGATTGCACCTATTTTACGTTTTGCTTTGTACCAGACTTGCGGAGGCGGAGGAAATTTGGTTGGAGCAGGGGCTGCAGGGGGTTGCAACATACCCGTCGTATTAAAAGGACTATCGTCATTCAAGAACTCTGAGAATCAAAATCATGGTACTGCCGTAAAGACGAACAATGCGGGAAGAAACACACAGTTGTCCGCTATTGAATGAAGAAACATAGGACCGACAAGGATGAACCAGCGTCGTTCGTGCGTTCGAACGTCAACGAACACACACGAATGTTTATAATGCATTTTCTTTACTTTCCCGATGATTGTTGATCTATACATGATTTTTAATAACGCATACTTTTAATAAAGAATATCACAATTTTAATGGTGGGTGATTGTGAACGGCGCGATCTCTATAAATCGGGAATAACGGTCGAAGAAAATGATAATAATTAAGTTTATTGTACAACTAACATCTATTAATATACAAAACTATAATTTTTGATTACACGTTCGGCGACGTGGCATAATATAAGTAGATAATAAGTAACGGTACAAGTAAATATCTTTAATATATATAGTTTTACATTAAAACAACAAATAATTTACACGATTCAATATGTCCTCGCACATCTGTGTCAATCTCACCCAGCATAGCACCCCCGGATGTTAAAACTACACATATACATTGCCTGAGAGAGATCGACTTGGGCGATCGAAAAAATTATAAAGAATATTATCTAGTGAGGTTGAGTCTAGAGGGCAGCTCTAATATAATATACTTGTCTCTGTAAAAATATTAATTCGTTTATGACCTTAATCAACAGCATCGCGTGTACAGAAGGGCGTGGTTTATTCTGGTCGATTTTGTGCGTGTTTCATTTATAAGATACACATTCCACGTTTATATTTTATTACAAAACTTTAGACAATCAAAACTATTCCGTGCGATCATGTACAAAAGTAACTCGCGTATTGTTTTACGAAAGATCTTTTACCTCGAGGTTGCAATGAATCAACCCTTGTACGATTAATTCGCTAAGAACGTCATTTTCTATGTGAAATAAAAGGTGCACTCGTCACGAGCGCGGCAGTTGTATACAGACGATACAATTTCTCTATTTACAAATACTATAACAAAATGTCTAAAGATAAATTTAAGTATTTTTCTTGTTTTCTTTTTTTTTACAAATATCAGCCAACACGTCGCATTGTATCTCAGATCAGAGCTTTCCATTTTCACCAATAACAATTGATTTCCACAATCACACCTCGACCGCAAGTGTCGCAAAAGAGAAACCCATGATTTTTAAACCCAACCACCGGTTAATTTATGGAACATCTCCTCGTTCAACGTCTGATTCGCCTCTTTCGATCGCATCGACAAAAATATATACCCTCCGATGAATTCATGGACGACCTTACAGTCCGCGGACTGGCACTCAAAGACAATATTGTCTTTCGCCTCTTCGAATTGGACCATCATGTGCTTCACTTCCCAGTTTACGTTCCATGCCTGTGTAAATAGAATATACTCGATGGTACATAGCCCCTGACAAGCTCTTGACAAGTTTATATTATACAGATTTGATCTTCTCACCTTCATCGTGTTGTATCTCCAAGTTTTCAAGTGATCACCACTGTGAAGCTCCATTCGCATCAGCCTGTTATTAGCGATGCCCAACAGCTCGTCCTTGCTCTTACCAGTGAATCTGACCACGAACAGAGAGATTCCGTACTCGGGAAGAGACTGCCAGGCTTTGATGTAGTTCAATTTGGCCTCGATTAAAGGTAGATCCTTGACGTTGGCGTGTGCTTCCAGAATCCTCTGTACCAGCTACGAATACAGAAGGAAGAGAGATCAGCTACCGAAAACGGCAGTTAGCTACAGAGACAAGCGACGTACCTTTCCTTTGAACTTCTTGGCGAATCGAGGGGCAACGTAGTCCTCGGGCACGATGTCGAGAGCGTTGGGATTGATCGCGGGCGCGGGGGCGGGCCTTTGCAGTTGCAGAAAGGCCGTGATGCTGTTCACTTCGCTCTCGTAAGAGGCGTCAGCGAGAGAACGCCCTTTCGCCGCTAATCTGCACGCAGCCATCCATTTGGCGTACTGTTGCTCCTGGAACGTGCAACAGAGAAACTCGGTAATTCCCACACGCAACTGAGATACCGCGTGACAGTAGCAATCGCTCGATCGAACGGTCGCTAATTAGAAGTGAGTTTCAAATGCAATCGTCGGCGTGAAACCGCGAGGACAGAGACAGAGTGGGTATGGGTGCACAACTCACGTTGTCGCATCTGATCCACATCTCGGTCATGCCCTCGGCGCTGGGCACCTCCAACCTGATCCCGTAGCGACCTTGCGAGAGATGGACATCAGGCGTGACCTCGCATCCACGCAGATTGATCACGTGGGCAGGCGACTCGCTGTGCGTCTCCTCCCGGCTCTTGTACAACCTCAGCTGAAGGTCCCTGCACGTGACCCAGTAGCGCTTGAACGCCTTCAGGGTGAAGCGCTTCGGCTTCAAGAAACGGAGGTAGTCGCACAACTCGGGCACTTGGGTGATGTCACTCGGTCCGTTACTGATGTTACTGCCCTCCAAGGTCACTTGGAGATCAGTCAGGGCTGCGTCAATGTCGTCCTCGACCGGGGAGGACGCGCCATTGCTGTCGTAACTTGGTTGCGGCACGCTCGCCTGAAGATTCACTTGCACCTGCGAATCACGCAATACATATACATATACGCGACGTTCGTCTCGTTCCTCGGCTATACAATGCTTCGTTTCTTATCTAATTCGATCCGAGAAACGTCGGTGGGCGTACATCGGGCAAATAACGTTTTCTCGATTGGTCGTTGGTCGGTTTAAGGAAACGAGATTTGCATGCGAGCCGCGCGGAGGCGATCTATCGCAGGGGCGGACGAGCGTCTTTAATTGGGCAAAGGCAGGAAAGCTTCGTTTAACTTTCCTACGCCCTCTATTTCCAAGTGTCTCGATAAGCCTCTCGATCGTCCCACAAATTTAGAAACGAACGCTTCGCTGCGATCTGTCGTGTCATCGCCAGCTATTTCAGTCTGTCGCTCACCAGAGGCTCACCTGACACTCTTGGACGTGTGTAAGTATATATATATAAATATATATAGATCGAACCGGTCCGACGAGCGCCGGATGTTTGGACCGTGAAAACATTAACCGCGTAAACAATCGCGCAGCTGGTCCATCGCAGTGCAAATGCCGTGCAAATTCCCGCAAACGGAAAGGGATAATGGGACCCCGTTGAAGTCCCAAGCACAACGGGGGAGTATGTGTGTGTGTGTGTGTGTGTCTGTGTACATGTGTACGGAGTAATACCTGCAACGCGGCGAACATCAGCATTTCCTCCTCGGTACAGTCGATCTCCTCGGCGAGCAGCTGCCATTTCGCCTGCTCGTAAATCATGTTGATCCTGACAGCGTCCGTTTTCGGGTTCAGGTCGTAGAAGGAGTAAAACTTGAACTTCAGCCTGAGAGTGTCGAATTCGCGTATCCCCTGTTCCATGATCGACAGGGACGAGTCGAGCCAGGCAACGTTCATCCTGGCGCGTTCCACGAGGTTCTTCGGCCTGACCAGTTTCGCCCGTACCTCCGACGAGACGGTGGTCGGACTCTGCGCCAGCGACTCGGACAATCCCCCGTTCAACACCTCGAGACTCATGGTGCTGTTGTTGGCGTTGAACGAGCCGGTGCTACCAAAACCCGACGAGTTGTTGTTCCTTTTCCAGGTACCGGTTTGCTGGAAGAAAGCAAATGGAAGAGGGGGGAACGTGAGCGTACACGCTGGCAGAGAGCGAGATCGTGCCTCGCGGTCGAGCAATAAATACACTTAATGACCACCGTCGGTCGGGAAAAACGGGCCGCTCGCGCGAGAAGCAAATTAGCTTCCCGAGACGAGCCACTCCGCAAGCGGTAATGATAGGCCAATATCGATAAATCATAGGCGCGGCAATCAGCTCGATCGGATGTTATTTATTACCATAACAGGTCCGATTCCCGATCCTATCCGATCGGCCAGATCCACGATACATCCGATGGCCCGCTGATGACGCGTGATTCTAGAGATCCGTATGTATAATACTTACCGAAACGGGCGAGCTGATCGGCGTGCTGTGATTTCTGTTGTTGACCGGCGCGCACATGAAAGGGCTGCCCTGATCCAGACTGCCCGTCGACCCTCTGGGACTCTGGCTCACCGGGATGAACGTGTTCGTGTCCGCGGGGACGTTCCAATGCCCGTTCTTTTGGTTCTCGATCTTCTTCTTTGCCGGCAGATCTTTCAAATTGTACTTCAGGTGATTTGGCTCGAGCGGTTTGCAGAACGACAATTCCTCCGGATGTCTGATACCTGAGTGCCGAGAGGGTTCCGTCCGTTTTAAAAGAATTCTCGTTGTCTCTTGACAAGGCAAGTTGATCGCAAACGATGGTCGATTACGCGATCGAACGTAGCGTTTCGCAATACGTAGTACACGGTTTGATCATTTGCGTACGCTTTTTTTACCGTATGTACTTTGTTTTATTGCTCTTGCGGAACGCGCGTTACTGTGTCTATTTACGAGTATGACACGAGCAAAGCTATCGGCGAGGTCATCTGTCCATCGCGATTGCGTGGACAAAAAAAAAAAAAAAAGAAAAAGGCAAGAACCGGCATATCGTAGTAAACGCGGATAAGTGATTTCGCGAGTTGGCAATTTCTACCGGCCTTCTGTAGCTTATCGCTACCCACGAATCCGTGTCGATTAATTATCGTTCCTCGGCGCGCCACTCTCGACAAAAGAAAGAAGAATACTTTCTCGACAGCACGTTTTTTTCTCCCGCAAGTGGAAGGCAAGACGGTGCGGTACAATGCCTTCATTATCGCGGCGAACCACTTCCTTGATTAAAAAAAAAAAAAAAAACCTGCCCGTTAGAGCAGCCACGCTCGGCTTCAGACACGAATGCTACCCGTGACCTTCGCGTGACTGGGAATTTAACAATTTTATTTCATTATCGGGACTAATTAGCACCGTCACGGCTAGGTGTCGTGCGAACTCGCCGCCTGGCGGCCGGAATCTCATTTCGAAACGCTCGACCTCCCGACTTGGTCGAGATCGTTTGGCACTTTCGAATATCAGGCCTGCCTCGGAGGAGCGAGGACTCACCCAACTCCTTGCACAGATTGATCACGGCGTTGAACGTCTTTACAGAGAAGTCGACCTTGCAGTCGAGGCATCGCATGTCCGGCAGCTGTACTCTCAGAGTTTTGTGCATCGGCGTGAAGTGGAGGAGCGCGTCCGCGGTGACACCGTACTGATCCAGAGTGCTTCTCGTTCTGGTGAGCCAGTGATTCCTCTCGGGCCACCATAGCGCGTGATCCGACCAGTCCATGGCGATGTCTGCATAGAAACACACAGAAACGGCAAAAATTGAAAAAAAGAAGAAAACAAAAAGAACGTATCATCGTCGGGAGAATTATTTCGTTGTGTGTGCGAACGTGTGTCACGGCCAATTCCACGGCGTTACGAAGATGGACACGGTCGATTAGCCGATTAGCTCGGAGGGGGGCCGATTGCTTAATGCTTCTTAAAGGGAGGCGAGCCAACCGTCAATTGATCAATGACGATCCAACGAGATGGCGGCCGTGGACGCGCGTGTTTATTGCCTTCATCGTCGGCCCCTTTGACCGTTTCGCGATCCCGGAAACAGAAAACACCCCCTAATGCTTGTTGTTGGGGAGGAATATACCGAGGGAATCTCTCCTCCGGATGCGTTGAAGATTCGAGGCAACGATAACGGACTGATCCTCGACTGATCTATCGGTACACGTACGGAACAGCGATAAAGTTGAGCTACATGTGGACACGTCGAACCTATTCAAGATCCGATCTAATCAGCTCTGAGAGGGAAATTGAAAGAAATTTATCGCGACGTGGCAGAGTTTCGATTCTCGTAAACGTGCAAAACAGCGTTTCGCGCGTTTCTTTTATTTTTCTTCTTTCCTTTCCGAGAACGCTCGGTGTTTCTAGCCAGTCGTACGAGACGACTCGAGGCATTCCGCGCAATAACTCCATAGATTTAATTTCTCTTGCGGTCGCGAATGTACGACTTCCCAAGTCTCTGACCGCAGCCTTAAACCCCCATCCTCGTTAGAGTCACGATACTTTGTCACGGTGAACGGTGCGCGAACTTTCTGTATACGTGTGTTTGTGCATGCATGTGTTTTTTTTTTTTTTCCTCCACGTCGTACCCGGACCCCGTATCCGGGACATGTGCGTCAGAGTTTCACGACGCTTCCTATCCGGGGCCTGGTGCACCGCTTGATGATTTACGCACGATGGACTTAACGACCACGTGGTTGGGTCCTACCGCGCGTCCTGTTTACGTTATTGCCGCGCGGAATTATTGCGGAGACCGGATTATTGCTACTCCTGTGCAGCGATTCTTGCAACATTCCATTTTCCTCAAACGACGATCTCGTTGTGTTAGGAATCGGTGATACATATGAGTCATCCTAAGTATTTCGACCAGGGACCAAAGTACAAATAGGAAAGAATACATGCAGCAGAAAAGAGCAGCATTGTAACATTTCTACATCAAGCAATGTGGATAACACAGCATTGTAACATTTCTACATCCAAGTTTCGGAGTAGAAATCCTGTCTTGTTCAAATAATTTTTATGATATTTATATAATTTTAATAATTATTATATAATTTTATATAATAAAAATTAGTAATAATAAAAATAAAAAAGAAATATTATATAATAATAAAAATAAAATTATATTATTATTATATTATCATAATATATATTATATATATAATAATATATATTATTTAATATATTATATTATTATTATTATTATTATTATTATTATTATATTATAATAATTATTATTTATATAATAAAAATTAGTAATAAAATTAAAATTAGTAAGTAATTTTAATTATACCCGAATAATTTTCATTACATTTGTGTAATTTTAATTACACCCCTTCAAAAAGGTAACAATTTGCTTTTACTGGCAATTTGAGCAGCTCGATTGAATCGAAACGGTATAGGGTTCGGCGAGACAGATTGCATCTCTCTGGCGACTCTACCGCGTCCAATATTCCCCCTGTCCAATATTACCAGTACCATGCACTGTGAATCGGAATGCTATTATCCTCCCCCGGGTAACATAGGAGGCCCCGGATAATTGCCGAGAGTCAAGGTATCCGTCGCGATCCACTAATTGCGCTCCCTCGGGTGTCCGGAGTAACTGTTGCGGAGATAAAATCGGCCGATGGGGTGCGACATGAAAGGATCCCGGGGGCTGGCGCGCGTCTTTGTCGTTGCGAAAGACTTCCTCGCACGTACGTACATTTGTTTCTACTGCCGACGGGAATGTACGACATACAATTCGAGCACACGCCCTTCTTCCTCTCTCGAGGAAGCGATGTCGAGTGGGCCGGGCTCTTCTTCTCTTTCCCTTCGATTGCCAGCCGCGTGTGAACTCGTCGCACAAGCAACAACCTCCTTCGTGTTTCTTTCGTGAGGTGCGGTTACAATGAACCTTTGTGAATTCAGACGCACACACCTCTTTCGTGGCAACGTGCACGGATACGCGCAGTCAAAGATATTCGTCCGGGACTAGGCGCCCCCCTCCGTCCCTTTTGTGTCCATTCTTTCGCACGAGCGAGGCCCACTTCCCGCAATCGCGGAGGAAGAGAGAGGATACCCGAGCATGGGACGCAACCCCTTATACACGAGAAGACGTCGACAAGGGTGTCGGCTGGCTCAAGGGGTTTCGTCCCTCGCCGCCTCTCGAAACAGGAGAAAACCGGTCCGTTTCTGCTGCTCTCGGTGATGAAACACGGGCGACAAGCACGCACACACGTGCACGCTCGCACGTCGCTGGGGAAAAACAAATTTCCACAGCTGTTCCGCTCCGTGTCCGCTCGATTTAACGACTCACCCGAAATCCGTGCCGCTCTCCCGTCCGAACATCGTTTAAAGTGACCATTAGGCCAACCACACATGGTCCTGAAAACGGTGCCGGACATTTCTCGGGATTGTCAGTCGAATTCTGAACTCTCCCACGATGTCTCGGTCGATTTTTACAAACAAATTGCTCGCCGTTGGGGATTTGACGAGGACTGGAAACGCGTGTCTCTGCCATGTTGTTCAACAACGTGTCTCCGCGTCCGAAAGAAACAGTCACTTACCACAGCCACTGCAGGCTGAAGACGAGAACAATATACCGATGTCGAGCACCTAGCTCCCTGGTCGTCACGAGCCACTATCTTGCGCTCGAGTATCGTTTCTAAGGTTTCTCACGAGTCCACATTCTCCAGACACGTACCTTTTCTTTTTTTTTTTTTTACAAAATTTGCTCGACAAATTGCGAAATCCTTTCCAAAGTGGTACTCGTTTGCACGAGGTTTGCGTCAGTGGAGCTCTCTTTTCTATGCGAGGCACGCGACGAATTGAAAGGACGACGCGGGTTGGTACCGTTAATGGGACAATCTTGTTGACCGGCCGTGCCACGCGGTTTTTACGCACCGTTACGTCAACCTCGTCGAGATACGACAGCGTATACAGGCGTCGAAAAGAGGGAAAAGCTCTTGTGGTTCCCTGCGATTGTGCAGAGCAGATGCCGTCTATAAATATTTCGCGAATTTTAGAACTCTCTCGGGGAGATCTTCGACATCACGACCGCGCGAAACTCTTCGACGCTTTTGCGAGAGGAGACGAAACGTAGAGGAGCTGGCTCGCGAGGCAATTCCACTTTCGAGAAGACGTGTTTCTCGCATTAAGGGAGGGGAAAAAAATGGGGAACAATGCTGAAGGGAATGACTTCGGTGTCGTCTCAGCGAGCCACATTCCGCTCGTCCGGCTTGTTTGTGGCTCTCGCGGCGATGTTACAACACGCCGGTACAGCTACCAACCACGCGTTTAGTATGCATTGTCCTTCTGTCTCGCGAACTGCCGCCAAGCTGGAAGCTCCATCGTCGAGACATCACTGTTACTACGAGATATTAACCGACGTCTGTCCGGCGGTATGAAATATTCAATTAGACGATACGAAAATTTTATGCACTGGCAATTGTCCCTGCGTCGGTAATAGAGATGACTCTACGAAAAGATGAGGAATAAAATTTTTTCGAGTAAATCGAAAGACGATACGTTGCTTAACAGCATTAATATATCATTCGTAACGTTGATTGAGAAATGATTTTCGACACATTTTTTTCACCTCCTCTTCGTTTATACCACCGACGTGCAGGGATATCCTGTATATCAGGCGAATCTTTTTGAGAAGTAGGTCAAATTTTGTTCATTATTTTTTTTAGTACTAGCTCGCGGGTCACTAAGAGGATTGTTAAAAACTACTTTTCTTTGGTTCTCGCTTTTATAATTCTCTGAGAAGTTTACGTTTCCTTTTTGTTTTACAACTTTTACTTTTGCAAGTGAAGAGCAAAAAATAAATGTCGACGACAAAAAATTGATATAAAAGGGGTGACATCATGCCCAGTCACCCCTGCACTGTACATTAGATACATGTACTTTATTTCTTAATATTTTTTATTGTCTGTTCTCTCTTTTATTAAATGAAAAACTAGCAAAGCTACCCATTCTGAGAATAGGATCTAGTGTGTTTTTTACTGTTTATTATATCTGTTAGCGCTATATAAAATTTTTTGGACACGAGTATAACATTTAAGACTTAAAATACCTATATGTATACATAACCAAGTCGTAAATCCTCCACAAAACGCAATTATGCATTTATTTCTCACTTTTAAGCTCTAACCGAACACCTGTAATTTTCTTAACATTTTTTGAAAAGAGGCGTTCGAAAAATAATTAAAATTCTTTTATATATATGATGATAAGCTTATAAAAATCAACGCGTGGGTCATTTAAAAAGCCTAAGTGGTCAGTGTCTGACCTACGGGTCATAGGTTCGCCATCATTGCTGTATATTATATTTATATTTGGCCGTTTGTTAGGACACAGATACAGGAAATACGAGATGGAACATTGAACGTTAACCTAGGTTAACGTTCCTAGCATTTGCAACGATGCGTCACGAATGACATTTAGCAACGACTGAGACACTCCGGCTGGGAAGTTCAACCGTGAAAAGTGCAACGAACGACCGATACACTTGATGGAACACATCACGATTGGAGAACAAAACGCGATCCTCCTCGAAAAGTGGCTCGCTCGACGGACTTTAATATCAGCGAACTCGAGCCACGTGAACGACGATCGATCGGTGATGGGGCTGGAATCGCAGGTAGGTGAAGAAACCGTGCTGATTCGTCGACAAGAAAATGTTCTTTGCATAACAACGAGAGATCGATGTGTCTGTTTATATGTATGTGTGTGTGTGTGTGTGTGTGTGTGCA